GGGAATTACTCCCTGTGCTCAAGGCCAATTATGTTCTATGGAAAAGGTGACATGGAGGTAAAAATATACCTTTATAAATACACCCACCCACCCTGGGGTTGTACCTATGACTTCATTTTATTTACACACACATACATACATATATATGTGCATATTTATGTGTGTGGGTATGTATATATATATACATATATATAATTTGTTGATATTCAGTATGTCTGACTCTTCTTCTCTATTTGGGGTTTTCTTGGCAAAGAAATTGGAGTGGTTTGCAATTTCCTTCTCCAGCTCATTTTATAGATGAGGAAAGTGACTTGTCCAGGGTCACACAGCTAGTAAGTGTCTGAGGCCAGATTTGAACTGAGGAAGATGGGTCCGATAGAGAAATGATAGATAGATAGATAGATAGATAGATAGACAGATAGACAGACACATATATACATATACACAAACACATATGTGTGTGTGTGTGTGTGTGTGTGTGTGTGTGTGTATTGTACCTGTGACTTCATTGCAAAGGGAATTTTTGATGAGGAAATTCTCTCCACCGGTGCAGATAGGCACTTCTTTCATAATTCAAGGTCTTACAACATAGTCTAGGGCACTAACAGATTCAGTGACTGCCTGGGATTCCCCAGTGTCCCCAACATGTCAGAGGCCGATTTGAACTCAGGTCTTTATGATGCTAAGGACAGCCCTCTCTCTGCTCTGCTGACTCTCACAAACTATATATATATAACAGATACAAAAATACAAGATAATATGGGGCAGCAGCTAGGGGAAAACAGGAAGTGAAGGGCAAGGGGTGGGTTTTAACAAGACTATGACGAGATCATTTTGGGACATGGAGAGTTTGAGGTGCTGCTGGCTGTCCAAAGTGAGACATGCAGCAGGCGGGAGTGGGGAAGAGGTGGGAGTGGAGAACTATATTTGAGAATCATGTGTCTCAAGGTAATCCTTGAAGTCATGGAGGTAGCATAGGTCACCAAAGAAGAGAGGAAAGAGAAAAGAGTCTGGGGAAAGCTCACACTTGTGTTGGTCCAAGAATCAGATCCAGAAAGATGTCCTGACCTCCTCTGGTGGGCTTGGCTGTGGGCTAACTCCCTCTTCTCCCCATGAGTTTCATTCTTTTTCTAACCACCATAATCAGAGACAGCACCAACCTCCTGACTTTGGCAGGAGAGTTAGACCTGCCTGGAAGAATAGACAGTGTAGAGATCAGAGACAAGGGAAAAGCAGGGAAAGGGAAGGAGGATCTGCCTGTTCTCTAGGAGCTAGGGATTGAGCCCACTGTGGCTTCTCTTGAAGAGGGGACTTCCCAGCAAGCTACCTATTTTAATTAAAATTTTCTCCTAATCAAAAAACTAATTTTCATTGTTTCAAAGTTAAACATGAATAAATTTTTAATTTGCAGCTGGTTTGGGAAGTCTGTGGACACTGGGGATGTCCTGTACCTACAACGAGCCACAGAACAGGAAAAATGAAAAGAACAAAATACTTCTTGGCTATGTACCATCATGTTTTCCACTGAAGATCTAAATATTTTAGAGAAAGTAACATACTCAGGAAACAATCCCTCCGGCCCCAAATAGTATCATTGATTTAAAGATGGGAGAGACTTTGGAAGTCCAACACTCTCTTTTTATAGATGAGGTAACTAGGGCTTAGAGTGAACAAGTCAGTCAGTCAGCTATCAACATTAAGCACCTACTATGTGCCAGGCACCATGGTATGTGTTGCACCAGCAGCCAAGGGAGAATTGGATGTAGAGTCATCATGTTTAAGAGGAACTTTTAAGAATCCCACAAATGGGGGGGAAGGACTTCTAGTAATCAAGATTTATGAGTTACCCCATTATTTTATGTTCACTCTAAAACTAAGCCACCTCTCCCTGGAGTCTGTATGTGCTTGTGGGAGTATGTATCAGAGTCTTTACTGGGAGATATCTTGTATCAACTCATCTTAGGATACCATCCTTTTCTAAAAGCTACTTAAGGATGAGTGACTAAATTGATTCTCAACTAATATCAGGGAAAGCACACCGATGGGGGCTCAAGCCTATGACATGGGAGAATCACCCTCTGCTCCTCTGCTTCCCTGAGGGAGAGATATAGCCTTGCCTCAGGACCCAAGATTCATCTGAGAGAGTCAGAGTTGGGCTACATATCCTCAGAGTTTATACGGGCTATAATGCCATACAAAATTGGCTAGCATAATTATTATTTTAGAAGAATTATTATACAAAGCAAACAATCTCCATAGCCAAAAATAAATCTTTCACATGCTTATTGGCACACGTCTTATAGGACATAGTCACTGATTTATTTATGGTGGGCAAGGAATCCTCCCATGTGATATGAGCTGTTCTCAGACCCAAAACCTTTGCTGTGTGTCAGCCCCAATGCACATATTTTGCAATTTATGTAATTCCTGTGATTCTTGCTTCAACTCCAAGAACAACTTCAGCGTTCCTGTTTTATCAAATGTGTTCCACAAATGTAATAAAAACCACTTTGGCATTTCTGAAACACAACAGAGCTAGAAGAAAGAGATTAAACTTTCTCTCAATGCTGTGGTTGTTTGTCCTTCCTTCTCAAAGAGGACCATGAAATCAGGGAGATGATGCCATGACTTGCAAGTGAATTGGATTTAAGTGAGGGAGGGCTGTGTAGTCACCAGCCTCACTCTCTCCTCCTGAGCCATCCGGGTCCAGTGGCAAGATATAGATCAGGACAACTGGAGATGGGCACCCTCAATGGAGAGAATACCCTATGGCTTCATATAACTGGAAAAGTCTCCATGCAGAACTATATTTTAGCAATCACAGAAAGATTTCATGATGACTTTCTTTAAAACCTCCAGAGAAAGAAATTCTATGACCTATGTGTATTTGTTTCTATGAAGCAAATAGGTGATGCAGTAGATAGAGCACCCTATCTGGAATCAGGAAGACCTGATTGAAAAACACTGTCAATCAAATTCAAATCAATTCAAATCCAGCCTCAGACACTTGTTAGCTATGTGATCCTGGGCAAGTCGCTTAACCTCCGTTTGCTTTAGTTTCCTCAGTTGTGAAATGGGGATAATAACAGCACTTCCCTCCTAGAGTTATAATGAGGATCAAATCAGATAATAATTGTAAAGCGCTCAACATAGTGCCTGGCACATAGTAGGTGCTATACAAGTGCTAGGTGTTATTATGATCATTATGCTGATGTACATAAAGATCACATGCAAAACTAGATATCAACATTCATTCAACTTAACAAACATTTATTAAGCCTCTACTATATACAGTAAAGGAGAGAGAATGTCATATGGATCATAGCACACTAGGCTTGGATGCAGGAAGAGCTGAATTCAAGCCCTACTTAGGCAGTGTGCCCTTGGGCAAGTCACTTAATTTAGTGTCTCAGGCAACCCTAAGATTACACATTCATTGTGACTAATATGGAAATATGTTTTGCATGACTCGACATGTGTGATCAATCTCATATTGCTTGCCTTTTCAATGGCTGGGGGAGAAATGGGTAGGAGGGAGAGAATTTGAAATTCAAAATTAAAAAAATAAAGAAGCGAAAAATAAATAAAAATCTAAAAAATTGATATGTTGTAGGGAAGGTATTGATCTGCATCGGTGAGGATGCTTTGTCACCATGGAGTTCCCTGAAGCAATGAAACCACAGATCTAGTCCAAAAAAATAAACAAGACCCCGTGCAAACTCATGGGTATACAAACACAAAAACAAAATAATCCTTGACCTCTAGGAAATTGCTTGCTGTTTAGTCTCCATAGACTATCCCATATACGACAGAGCTGGATCTTTCTAGTAGAATGTAAGTTTCTTGAGGGCACGACAGTCTCACTGGTATCTGCATGTCTAGTGCCTACTACCACTGAATGATCAGTAGCCATGTATTTTGAACACTCACAGGTTTACAGGCTGTACTGGACATGAGAGAAGTTAGGGGAGCCAACATTGTCTGCCTGGAGGCTTGCAGCATGGTATGACGGATAACGTGCAGAACTTGGATTAAGGGAGATGTGGGTTCAAATCCTGATTTTAACATTTATTAGTTATGACCATGTGACCAATTCACTTCTCAGACTTTCAGTCAACTTGCTAAGATTATCAATTATAGATAAGGTGCAATCTGCTTCTGCTTTTACACTGCAGAAATCACAGGGCTCTGACATTAAAAGACAAAAATTTTCATAGGATCCGAGTGAATCTATTAGCAGTTTTGTCAACAGGGGCCCCACATTCAACATGAGCTAAGAAAATACATCTTCTATTGATCATCACAAATGTATAGGAAATATTCCTAAATTCTTAGATGAGTAAATGTTTCCCAGAACCCTTTGAAGGAAGACTGATGATGCCAACTGGTTTGGTACAAAACTTCCCATCAAACCTAGAACCCCCAGGATGTTGTCACTTTGACCTTCTCCAGTCAAGAGTGATTTTCACCCAGATGTGTGTGTGTGGGTGTGTGTGTGTGTGTGTGCGGACACTCGTGCCTTTATTCAAATGACCTGATGTCATCAAAGTAAAGTTTTTTGATGCCTTCACACAGAGTTGAAACCATCCACTTGAAGGAACATAGCCATCGCCTGCAGAAAATTAGACTGAGGATGAAGAAGAATCTTAATGGAAAACACAACTGGGATGGGGCTGGTTTTGAGGGGGAGGGGGTTGTGTTTGTTTTTTTCTCCAGCAGCATCAACATATGGCTGGAAAATATGTCAAAGGTTGGAGATGCTGGACAAGTAGTGAAAATTACTATGGCCAGATGGAATTTGAATCCCCTCCAAAGATGGGGTAAAAAAACTTTTAACCAGTGACCTGGACTGAAGAAGCCAAAGAGCGAATATTGAGCACAAAGCATTCCTAACTGCCGATGTTAGGATTTGAAGCTGCATTGTCCCAAATGTCTTAGCAGCAGGCACGGAACCCATGTCCTCCCAAACCCCAATGCCCAAGGCAATGCTGAAAGCTTACCTATGAGCTTTGAGTATCCGCTGTGCAATGGTGTCACCAATCTTGTTGAAGACAACTTTGTCATCAGCACAACTAATAAAGAACTGGTTCTAGAGAAAAGAAATGTGACAATCATTGAAGTCACTCAGTTCCTTAATAATCCAGGGGAGGGGGGAGGGGGAGAGAAAGGAAGAGGAGAGGGGAGGGAGAGAAGGGGAGGAGAAGAGAGAAAAAGAGAAAGGGAGGGAGGGAGAGAAAGAGAATGGGGGAGGGCAGGGGAGGAGAAGGAGAAGAGAGAGAGAGGAGGGAGAAGGAAGGGGAAAGAGGGGAGGAGGAGGAGAGGGTGCAGCATGAAAAAAGCAAAGTTAATATGTCTTTAGAAAGGACAATTCTCTCATTCAGCAGTCATGCTAGGGTTCAGAACATTGGACTTTGAATTAGAAGACTTGGATCCAAGTCCAAGCTCAGCCACTTAACTTGTCTTAGCCCTGGCCAGGTTGTTTCCTTTTTCTGGGTCTCAGTTTCCTCACCTGTCACATGAGGGGATCAGACTAGGTGATCTCTAAGGTCCCTTTTAGCTCTAATATTTTATGAATATGTGGTTGAACATCGCTTTTGATAAATAGATCCTACATCACTTTGTAAAACGTAGTGCTGCACTTGGGGTCAGGAAGATCTGGGTTCAAATCCTACCTTGAACAATTATTAGCTGTGTAACCCTGGACAAGTCACTTAACCTCTCTGAGCCTTAGTTTCCTTATATGTAAAATGAGGATAATAGCTAGTCATCAACAGAACCAAAGGAAACAAATAATGTAAAGCCCTTTGCAAAATTATAGTTGTATGAAATGTCTGTTATTATACTTATTAGTATTAGCTATGGCAAGGGATTATCTCTGTGGTTTTCATTAGCATGGAGAAGTCTCAGATGAAGACACTCACTTATTAACGCAGATTAGCACTTTCTCTACAATTTATAGTCTTAGCCATTCAATAAGCATTTATTAAACACTTACTATATAGCAGGTACTGTGCTAAGCACTGGGGAAAGAAAGAAAGACAAAAATAGTCCCTTTCTTCAAGAAGCATACATTCTAAAGAAGAGATAAAGATATATCCAAAATAAATAGGTAGATACAAGACATCAGAATTGCCCACAGCTCTGAGAAATCAGGTGACTTGCATGACACACAGTCAGTGTGTGTTAGGGTCAGGGCCTGAATTCAATTCTTCCTGGCCCTCAGGCCAGCCTCATATCTATGTCACAAGGCCTCTATTATTGTTAGAAACTTTTGCAGTTCTTAGCAAAAATAATTTGAGACAACTTAGTCAAGTGAATGATGGAAATATTATTCCATACTGACAATTCTCTAGAAGGTAATTTAAATTAAATTACATTTGATCAGACCCATATACTAGATTTATTATATTTGACCAGATTAAAGAAGTAAAAATATAATAATATGGAATATTATATTCTAGGTTCACAGGGTTCGCTTATTTAAATGGGTAAACTCTTATTACCTCTATCTTTTCCTTGGGACTCATTAGTTTAAAATATTTTATTTTTTTTCATACACCAGTGTTTGCAACATGAACACATTGGGAAAAATAAATTTATTGCTATATAAAACATTATAGAGAAATGGCCTGGGGGGGTGTGGCAGGTAAAGGGCAGGCATCAGAGTCAGGAGCCCATGGGTTCATGTCCTGAGTCTGACACGTATTGAGTGTGGGACTCCGGGAAAGCACCTCAGCTCTGTTGCCTCCGAGCAACTCACTGTGGCTTTAAGGAGCAGAATGGCTCCAGGTCTCCATTGGTGCATGGAGATCCTCACTGGAAGCCACCTTGAGGGGGGCATGTGCTGGAGCCAGTTGTTAAATGTTCAGTTGAGCAGTTACACAAGCAAATGGAAGCTTCTGCTGCTTTCAACAACCTAACTGCGCTTGGCCTCCACCTCTTCTGCCCCCCAAGTCCCTCATGTTCTCAACTTAACCTTACCATCTAATAAATGTTGCCTCTCCAATATCCTGTTCTCTCAGGCTCCTGCTAATATTACAAAGCAAGCTAAATCCCAAGCCATGTGTTTACCTCCTAGAGCACTACATCTTTTTGAGAAGGAACCCTTGGACAAACTGGGCCTTGACCCAAAGCAATGCTATTCCAATGGTAGAATTTGAGAAGCCATGGTGGAGATCTTCCCCAACCAACTCTCTTACACTCAGACGGTACAGGGGGTTGACCACCTACAGAGGAGATTGGCCCTGAGTTCAGGGGCCACTGTCATGAGTAAGTATTCTTCTGGGGAAAGCTGATTCTCACTATTTCCCATGCCTGGGACTTACTTCTATGTATATGTAATGTTTGCTGTTCTCTATCACATGCGTATATGCAGCATGGATGGATTCTTCATGGTATTTTATGCCGGCTGACCAATCTGCAGCAGAACGGAGTAGCTACAAGAGAAAATGAAGAAAGATTAAAACTTGCATTACCCTCTAATGGATGTGACTCTAATAATAATAATTATTATTATAACTGCGCTAAACACTTTACAATGATTATTTCATTGGATTCTCACAACAATCCTGAGAGGTAGGTTATTATTCCCATTTCACAGATAAGGAAACTGAGGCCCAGAGAGATGACATAACTTGCCCGAGGTCACAACGGCCAGTATTAGACCCCAGATGCTCTGACCTCAAAACCAATGCTCCTTCCACTAGACCACACTGCCTCAATGGTTCCTGGGAATAACAGACAATTGAACACAAGCATTTGTCAAGAAGGATGGCTACAGGGTGCCATAGTGCATAGAGCTTCAGGCCGGTTGTCGGGAAGACTCACCTTCCTGAGTTCAGATCTAGCTGTGTGACCCTGGGCAAGTCACTTAACCCTGCTTGCCTCAGTTTCTTCACCTGTCAAATGAGCTGGAGAAAGAAATGGCAAATCACTCCAGTATCTCTGCCAAGAAAACCCCAAATGGGGTCATGAAGAGTTGGACACAACTGAAAAATGACTGAAGAAAATAAATTTGTTAAGAATCTTTTGTATGTTCAAGACATTGTTTCACGTGAAGTCATGGAAGAGCAGGTTATCCTTCCATCAAGAATGTTTTCTTTTCAAATTGAAAACACAAAGATGCGGCTTCTACCAAAAGGGTTTCTTTTTCTTGAGATGATTTCAAAATGTGGCTTCTTTCCCCTCCAAAGAGCACTTCAAATTCACATTAACAAACACACCTAAGGCAGACATAAGTTTCTCTTGACCTCAGGTACTTTTTTTCCAGGTAAGTTTTGTAAGCAGAAATTTGTATCATTAACAGAAAAAAAAATTTACCATCCTCTGAGCTTAGCTATAGTGGAAATGGCAGGTCCAAGGCCACCTGGATTGGAACCCAGACTGTTACCTATTAGTTGTGTGGTCATGGGCAAATCACTTACGTTTCTGAAGGTATCATTTACCTCAGCTTCCTCATCTGTCAAATGGTGATAATAATACTTGTTTCACCAAGACGTTAGGAGGTTCAGGGGAGATACTCTCTCCTCCATACTACTCTGTCTCTCATGACATGCCACAGAGACAAGCCTCTCTTGTGGATGTCTGTACCCATTCCCTGGGGCATTTTCTCCCAGGGGTCCATCAGGTAAAGGTGGCCTCATCTCTGAACCCCTCCTCTCCCACTCTCCAAATCCTATCCTTTCCAGAAAAATCCAGCACCAGTCCTACCTCCTCCAAAAGAATTTCTTGGGCACTTGTAGCACATAATTCAATCCAACTCAGCAAACATTAAGCACCACCTGTGTTCCAAGCACAGGACTGGGGACATAAGGACAAAAATGGACAGTTTCTGGCCTCACATTGATCTCCTTTCTAAACAGAAATTTTGGTAAATGCTTTATCAGTAGTCTGTAAAAAAAGTTCTCTTGAGATTCAACATGGCACGGAGGGTAAAAAGCTATCCTCAGAGTTGCGAAGTGCTGGGTTCAAGTCCTATCTCTGATATTCTGGTTGTGTGACCCTGGGCAAGTCACTTAACTCTCAGTGCCCCAAGCAACTCCCTCAGACTATAAGGTATACAGCAGGTGCCAATCTGCGTTGATGGACCCTAACTCAATAAGATCACAGCTTCTTATACCAAAAGAAAATCATTATGACTTCCCCAATGATTCACTCGTACCTTCCTTTGTAACAAACAAGTATAACTTGAGAAAATGGTAACAACACATTGGCCATATCTGAGAGTGTATGCCTAGTTCCATACCTGTAGTCCACCACTTCTCCCTAGGGGTAAGAGGCATGCCTCGCTGTCAATGGTCTGACATTCTGAACTTATTCTACACTTCATGTCACCTTTTTTATTTGTTTGCTTATTTGTAGAGTTTGAATTCAGTAACGCCTTTATTTTTTTAATTAAATTTTATTTTCCGCTCTGCATTCTCTCCACCTCCCCCTTCCCCTGCCACCTCTTTGACATGGAATTGTTCTAATTGCTGATCGATTTAGGGTGGACTCCATCAAAACCTGGTCAGGTGTTAGGGACAGTCAAGCTAAGCCAATACAAGTACCAGGAAGAGAACCAAGGTGCTCTGACAAGGTTGAACCTTGTACCCTTCCTTCTAGCTTTCTGGGTACTGACCTTAAACCTGTTTCATGCACTTTACATCCTCAGTTACATTTCTGGTTTACCCAGGTCTGAAAACCAGCTGAAACTTGCCCCCAGAGTGAGGGCCTCTGGTTATTACCTCTCCCTCTTCCTCATCCCCACCCAACTCTGACCTTCTCCAGTAACTCTCTGGAGGCCCATTAACCCTCCAGACTGCAGAATTCCTGAGATGGAGACTCTTCAGGCTCTCCTCATGGGGCTAGGGACCATATGCCCTCCTTATAGAGCATGGGGGCTGAAAATGCTGTACTATGTCTAGAAAACACCACCCCGCATGGACAGATCTCATCCACTTGCTTCAATGAAGCTGTGATCTCTTTGAAGAGGGTATTCTGGTCCAATGATTCAAATGAGATCATATTTTTTAAAGTGCTTAGCACACAGCAGGTGCTTAATAAATGCTTATTCTCTTCTCCTTTCCCAGTGTTAGAGTGCACAACTTATCCCTGCTCCCTATCCTGTGTGACTCTCATTCATTTCCCCAACAGTCCCTCACTGGAAACGTCCAGCCAGTATGCTAGTTTAGATCACTTCATATTGCATAGGTGTGTGGAGAGGTGGAAGGGATATGAGAAGTCATTGGGTCAGAGACTTAAAGATTTGCCCAAGGCCATCTAGGTAACAGGGCAGATGGGTGGTGCAATGGATAGAGCACTGGGCTTAGAATCAGGAAGACTCATCTTCCTGTGTTCAAATCTGGCCTCAGACACTTACTAGCTATGTGACCCTGGGCAAGTCACTTCACCCTGTTTGCCTCAGTTTCCTCATCTGTAAAATGAGCTGGAGAAGGAAATGACAAACTACTCTAGTATCTTTGTCAAGGAAACCCCAAATGGGGACATGAAGAGTCAGACACAACTGAACAACAATATACAGGTAATAAGTAGTAGAGGGAAGATTTAAACCTAGGCCAGGATTCAACAGAGGCTATGCACTATCCATCTTTCATCCCTCACTGTCACTACATGACCAGCCCACCTCCTTCTATGGTCACACTATCCTCTAAATGATATACATCAGGAAAGTCATCAAAGAGATGAGCAAAGATAGTGGTGTACAAGGAAGCAGATTCCTTCTTGGAATGAATTGGCCGTTCATGGGGCCCAGGATGACAAACCTGTGACCAGGTGGACGCAGGGACAATGATACCAACTTTTTTTTTTTTTTTACAATGAACAGTTCATCGTAAATGGCTAAAAACTTTGGGTTGGTGGCTTTTTACAGGAGCTGTCTTAAAAAGTATGTTCAAATGGAGATTCTACCTTACAGCATCTCAGTAAAAGAACAAGGTTTTTCCTACCATAAAGTAACTTGGGGTGCAGGTAGGTGGTACAGTGGATAGAGCACTGGGCCTGAAGTCAAGAAGACCTGAGTTCAAATCTGGCCTCAGACATTTACTAATTGTGTGACCCTGAGCAAGTCACTTAACCCCAATTACCTCAAAAAAAAGAGTAACTTGGGGGGCAGCCTGGTGTACAGAAGACCAGCTCAGAGGCAGGAAGAACTGAGTTCAGTTCCCACCTCTGACAGATTCTGGCCCTATGACCCTAGACATATTATTTGACCTCTCACTGCCATAGGTAACTTTCTAAACTATAAGGTGCAGAACAGTTACTAAAATGCATTGGGTAGAGGGAAGTTCCATACAGGGAACTCTGAGGAAACCATAGAACCAGATATTCATAATAATAATGATGATGATAACAACTAACATTTATATAGTGCTTACCATGTGCCAGGCTTTGTGTTAAGTGCTTTACAATTATTATCTCGTTTGATTCTCACAGTAAATCTGGGAGGTATGTGCCAATATTATTATCCCCATTTTACAGTTCAGGAAACTGAAGCAAATAGAGGTTCAATGATATGCCCTAGGTCACACAGCTAGTAAATGCCTGAGGACAAATTTGAACTCAGGTCTTCCTGACTCCAGGCTTAGTGCTCTATCTACTGTGCCAACTAGCTGTCTCACTTCTCCACCAAAAAAAGCAAAATAAACAATCACATAAGCTCTTGTTATATGTACCCAAATTAGAAATAACAGAGCTGCAGTGGGCTTAAATAACACTGCCAGTGAAAGTTATGGCTACTAGCTGTGTGACCCTGGGCAAGTCACTTAACCCCAATTGCCTCCCTTTCCCCCCCAAAAAAGAAAGTTACAGTCATCTTTTCTGAGTGTTCTGGGTCAAGACAAGCACATACAGTGTGGTAGTCTATGGTCATTAACCAATGTTAGTTGAGCTTCTAGAAATCTCAAAGGAAAAGCCTGTAATCCAATTTATTGCATCAAAATAAAAATTAGATGGCTCAGACAAATGTGTGTATTACTTCAGTGAAATATTTTCATCACCACTGAATGCCTATTTTTTTCCAGCTGTTCCACTTTTTTTTCTCTGCACAGATTCCATTTCTGGATTAAACCTAAGTAATGGTGCCAGGACTGAAATTGATCATAACTCATGCAGAAAGTACATAGATCATATTGCCCCAAATATAGCTGGAGTCAAGTCTAACCTCCACTTTTCAAACCTCAGCATTACAAAATTACAGAATATATATGAAAAATGCAGGGGTAGTTCTTTAAAAATATGTTTCTTCTCAAAATTACAACTGGAACCCATCATTTTTCCTTCTGCCTGTGGCCCCCTCTTAAGCACAAAAAATACCTCCAGCCAAGCACAACTCCCAACCTTCTTACTATATTGTTTCCAAGTAGAACTCGTAGGTTGCATAATAGGAGTCTGTTCTTGGAGGGGAACATTTCTAATTTTCCTAGAATTTCTCCCAAAT